TTTGATATATGTTGTATTATTCTGTTGGTGGTGGTGTGTTTTTTTTCTTATTTCCAGCAGACCTCTGGCTCTCGTGATAACTGAAAGGGGTATGTTGGAGGGGGGCTTTTCTCTAAACATTGGGATGAAGCATTATCCTGTCTGGAGGAGCTGCTCTGAGGCTGTACTAGAATACTACTGGAAAATTGGAGTTACGTACCTGGTAACTCTGTTTCTAGGAACCTTCCAGGACAGCATTAGAGATAGGCTCCTCCCACCGGAAACAGGAAACACATCACCCACACCTAGAATAAAAAGAGTACCAGCCTAGCACACCTCAGTTAAAACATAAGAACCGAAGGATACCACATCACTAACTCTGTCTCATGGAAGATGTACACATACAGAATTTATACATATGTATATATGTACTTCAATCTCACAAAGTACGGCATCTCGCAGCAAGCCACACCATTAATCGGGTGGGAATCCCTGCTGTCCTGGAAGGTTCCTAGAAACAGAGTTACCAGGTACGTAACTCCAATTTTCTCTAGTCACCTTCCAGGACAGCATTAGAGAGGATAAACGAGCACCATACTTACAATTCAGGGCGGGACCACGGCTTGCAGTACTTTCCTTCCGAAAGCCTGATCTTGGCTTGACGTCAGATCCACTCTATAGTGTTTGACGAATGTAGCGAAACTGGACCAGGTTGCTGCTCTGCAAATTTGATCTGGGGTAGCCCCCGCTCTTTCAGCCCAGGAGGCGGCCAAGGCCCTTGTGGAGTGTGCCGTCACCTGTTGTGGTGGTTTCAGATTTTGTAGATCATATATGTGCTAGGCTGGTACTCTTTTTATTCTAGGTGTGGGTGATGTGTTTCCTGTTTCCGGTGGGAGGAGCCTATCTCTAATGCTGTCCTGGAAGGTGACTAGAGAAAAATAGTTACCCGTAAGTTCTAACTCCGGTTCTTTTTGTTTTTTGCATACATTTACTGCTTTCTAGCAGTAGATCTATGCCACAAAGGTTTAAAATTGCAAGACACAGGATGACATACGTAGACCATAAAGTAGATGTAAACCCATATCTATTGACAGTTTGCCTATTGCACAGTAGCACAAAACTGCAACAGGTGTTAATATTTTCCTTTCAGTTTTCTTATACTTCCAACAGCGACAGGAGACTTGCAGCTTTTCTACACAGCAGCCATCTTGTTTGTCCACTCATCACGTCCTCTTGTCCAATCACAGAAAGCTTTGTATTCTGTGAACCATTCACAAAATACAAAGCATTCTCTGCATGGACAAGGAGCAGACCAAGATGGCTCATGTATAGGAGAGAACTGAAAGTGTCATCGGAGTGCCAGCAGTGTAGCAAAAGCTTTACTAGGGGTGCTCAAGGTGCGAATTGTAAATGACCGGCAGTGATGGAGGTGACATACAGCTTCTGAGATGTACCCATTTGTAACCCTGTAGATTAAAACATTCCTGGAATTGACATACCTTTCTGAAGCTGCTGCTGAATACATTCCAATTTAGCCTATGTGAAGCTAGCACACTGCACGATTCCTAAACACAGTTCAATGCAAATCAAGACGACAAGGTGCTATTGCATGTGGAATCCACCATGGACACAGTGGGTGGGCTTCCCACAGGCCAGAAAAATAAAAACTACATTCTGCACTCTTCAGAAAGCTCCATTGACTAGGAAGAAAAATGCCACAGAAAAGCTATTGTACACCAATCCCTACAATTGGCAATGCACACAAAGTGAGCTAAAAACCTGGCTGGGGATATATGATCCCCTGCACTGTCACTTCACAAGCTGGGAGTTCATTTTACAGTGATCCAGTACAAAGGATGGGGGGAAAAAATGGAGGATACACACAAGAACTCTTTAAAATATACCTACAAATATGACAAGTTATATATGAACAGGTACCAAATACAAATTGTCAGAAAGCAAACTCATTTTAAAATGACTGAGGCAATGGGGTTGTAGTTGTCATGATTAACTGTATCAAATCAGGCAAGCTAAAACACCCACTGGAATCATTTATTGTGCTAATATGCACATTAACTTAAACCATGAAATGTAATTAATAGACCCAAAACATAGCTTTGGAGTCAACTTGCACTTCTTTGCTTTAATGTGGTGTGGTTGCGGAAAAGGCCATCAGGTTGGCGATACATTGTTTGGATTCCACCAAAAGTGCATCTTTCACAGTGAAGTTATATCAAACATTTGATGCAATTCATGAAAAAGTGGTTATAATTCCATCCTTGTATATAATTTAGTTTTACAGAGGTTTGTCTCCCACAGCAATACTGAGGATGGTAGAATGGGTTGGACAGAACATAAATAGCATGCATCTGACACATTGATTCTAATGGGCCCATGTCCATGGGCTTATAGAAGTGACATGGAATAGAAATCCACTATAAAGCAGTCTGGTGGAACATGGCTGCATTCAGGAAAGGGTGATTTTAGAAAGGGCACCATCCTAAAGCAAACTACCAACCAATCTGAGTGAGTGGAAGTTCAGTTTGACAGCTATACCTTACTACACAAGAGTTTTATCTTAAGTAGTAATTGTTACAGTGTACTTTGTGCCATCCATCCCAATGGCCTTGAATAAGAGCAGTATGAATGCTTACAAAGCATTCTTCAAACAGCTTTATTGATGCCCTTTAGAGCATCCTCAAGCTCCAGTTTGGGGTGCTTGAGGATGCTCTAATGATATTAGGCGCACCATTTGTGACTTTAAACAAGCTAGCAGGCTTAGCAAGCTTCAGCACTGCTTGAAAACTTAGCAAAAGACTGCTGAAGCCTACTAGCAACAAGAGACAAGCAGCACTCCTATTATAAGCATTGTTTGACATTTCCAAACAAAGCTTATTCAAATGCTTTGCAAACACCTTCTACAATGTATGTATGCGTGTTGTACATACTGCACTTATACAACCTGTAGCTTGCAAGTACAAGGCCTGTCTGGAGGAAGCACTGTCACTTACCTGCCTTACTGGAAACAGGACACCTGCCAACCCCCATACTATTGCTTGTGTCGATGGAATCAGCCACTTCTGAAATCATTCGGAATTCATTGACAGGTGTATCTGACCTGCTTCCAGTGGGTTTTGCATCTCCCATAGACTTGTATGGAAATACAAAACCTGACCTGAACAGACCATCAGCATTGGCCTTTAATATGATTGCTACCCGCAGCTTGAAAACATGACAAGTGCTAGAAATTCTCTCACTAATAGGAAAAAGACAACAGTGGAGAAAAAAGTATTTCCTCTAAAGCTCACCACATATGTTACAATGATTGTACAACTTCCTTCAGATCTGCCAACTACGCAGCGCGAGAGCCTGACTGGACATAAATTGGGCAGATCAGATAGGCCCATGCTTTACATAATTTTGGCAGATCTAAAGTTGATTGCACAGTCAGACTGTACGACATAGGAAAAGCCTCCAGAACTAAGGATCCTTTCACACCAGGTACGTTGACGCTGTTTCCAGAGTGGCCCCAACGCAATACAAGGCATCGTCACAGACAGGTTTGGTTCACACCACCTTGTTGCAATAGGAATTCAGTGGTGTGCGGTTAAAAAAGTATGACATACCGTATTGGTTTTTTTTTACGCGCAGATGGATGCGACGCAGTACAACCTCCTCTCACCCTGCTGTGCCTGTAGAACTGAAATGTCAATTGTGACATTTTAATAAAGTTCGACAAAAAAAAAAAGTGCAATGTTTCGGGGCACCAAACACCTATTGCTGTGCAACTAAGCGCAGCATCTGGTGTGAACACAGCAAGATAAGGTGCTTGAAGACTGGACAGAGTTCAGACCACAACTCCTAACATACACGTTACTATTAAGACAGTTGTTAGTAAACCTTAAGATTGTGGTGATCTTAAAAAGGGGATTACACAGTCAGCCTTATTCACACTGCTTGCCTCCTAACATAGCTTGCCTATGTTATATGAACTATAAACAACTTGCATCCCTCCCAGATCACTTTGTAGGTATGTTTACATATGTTTCAACAAATCCTGAAAGCACACAATTCTAAGTCTGAAGGATACCACTGAAAATCAATGTCACACATTTGAAAGCGTTTCCTGAAAACACAGGGTTGATGCTGCCAGTGTGTACAAGGCCTGTAATGTGTGCGTGAGCCGTCAGAGCAAGATATCCACCCTCAGAAAATTAATTAGGAAAGTTTATTAAATTGACTTCTTGTATGCCCTGTCCTACACCCTATACTAAAGTCAGCCTTGTTTTCCGGGAAGGAACTTTGGTCGTCATCCTGGGGAAAGTGAAAGCAGTCCAGCCACCATAGACCTGGGTGTATGTATTTGTGACAATCCCCCCCACAGTGGGGGCCCTGATGAGGAGACAACCGGCACACACAGACACTGAGAGCCGGCTCAGGTGGATGGATGGCGGCGGGAGCACTGCTCCCCTCCTACCATACCGCGCTGTGTGTTCTGCAACAACATAGAGGCAGCGCCGCCATCTTATACTGCAGGATGAGCCGAGGGAGGGAGCAATGGACGCCGCTGCCAGGGAGGCGCACACACACATATATACATCCACTACATACAGCGTATGGGAAGGAACCAGCTCCCGCCTCACACTGACACCATTCTTTTCAGACACATACACAGGCGGTACACGCTATGGCGGAAGGACATGGAAGAGGGGGAGGGGAGAACGAGACAGCTCAGCGCACAGCACGCTAAGATAATGGAGATACCGGCCCCCCGATAGGGAAATGGATGGAACTCGGTATACACACACTCTGCTATATACATCCCTGAGGAGACAGCCCGTATACGACACACGGCCTAATCCAGCACAGGGCGTGTGAGAAGCCGGCGGACGACTAGTATTGCGCAGAGAAGATATGCGGTATAGAGGCCTGGGCTGTCCCCGCTCACCACCCCCCGAGTGTCGACATCCCCCACCCCCACCATTCACCCCGCCGGCCAACACAGCTGAAGCGTCGCTCACCTTGTGGATCCGCTTCAGCGCCATGATGCTCTCGCTGCTGCCGGTGCCGGGCGGGTGTACGGGTGAGCTGGGCGGAGGAGGAGAGAGCCAAGGAAGAGGCGGAGATAGAGGAGGCGGTGGTAATACCCCCCCTCCTCTGTACAATATCCGGGACACGCTACAAACAGGAGCCGCCCACACACGTCGCGGCGGGAGGTGACAGAAGGCGGGCGTACTGACCGCAGCTCAAGTGACCCGCCGGGTATCTCCTGCTACACGCCCCTCCCCCAGCTATCGGCTGGTATCTGTAGTTCCTGAAGTCAGCTCGCGGGCTTAGCCTCCGTCACGCGCTACCCTACGTCACCACCTCGATAAGTTGCGGCTCTATAGAGTGCGTAGCGCTCTCTCTAGCCTCTTCCTTTTCACGTAAGCCCCGCCCATTGTATCCTCACGTGGTCTGCGGAGACGCACAGCGTCCACCTAGTGAAGGGGGCGCGGTTAGTAAACGTGCGTGTGCACGAGGTCTGTCGGGGTTGACAGCTAACGCTGTGCGGTGGGAACAACAAAACATGGCGGTGTATGCAGGGTGATGTCACTTGTTGGGTGTACGAGCGGAAGCGGCGGTTCCTTATATCTTCCCCCATAATAATGGCGGTGACCGGTTATGCAATGAGGTGCGGCAGTGCGTCACCTTTCCTCATGTGGCGAGAGGAAGGTGGCTCATTACATGGTCAGAGTGACACACCAAAACTAGAATCGCCGCTGTATAGTTCTCCGCTGATGCATATATGCTGTTCCGCAACTGTGTGACACCGGTTTTACTTATGTGTATTGGCAGGGCCACTGTCCGGCTTTTTTTTCCCCGCGCGCTCTAGAACTGGAGGCTAGATGTCGGGTACGTGCAGGCAGCGCGCGTGACGTCACCAGGGCAGCAGAAAGAAAGCACGATGAGACAGAAACGTCGAGAAGCGCGCGGGTTACGGCTGTGCGCGGGCACGGCACAGGAAGGGCTAGGACGGGTGACAGTGACGTCTCTATCCCGCTTACAGTGGTTGATATGGAGACGGCGCCTTCATTTGGAGTGGCGGGAGTCCAAATAGGTCGCCACCTGCTCAATTTTACGTCTCCTGTGCTTTTTAATCGTGTGTCTGATAAAGTGAGGGAGGTCTGCAGCAAGGGTGCATAGTTCATTCATGTATGAAACCTGAGTGGCTCTATAACGTTGATTAATTTGTATGTTCTTCATCAACATATAAATACATGAGACGTAGTGCTGGACTGGAAGTTAAAAAAAAAATCAATCTAGACACCCTGTAATATTTATGCTTTTACAGTTGTACTTTGTTCAAACTGAGGTGATAAAGGTACAGTCCATGTTTTGCAAGTGTTTAATAAAAAAAAATTGCATTTATTCAATTTTAGCATTTAGGCTCGCACAGCGATTAGCTGATTGCCACAGGCATGAGCCCATACAGAGGTAGAGACCTTCAGTCATAGGCTTGGAGGAAGTAATCCATGGACTAAAAGAGCGGTGACATCACCACAGTTGTGTTCCATGGAGATCTACCGGTCCCACAGGTCGCCACCTGCTCAATTTTACGTCTCCTGTGCTTTTTAATCGTGTGTCTGATAAAGTGAGGGAGGTCTGCAGCAAGGGTGCATAGTTCATTCATGTATGAAACCTGAGTGGCTCTATAACGTTGATTAATTTGTATGTTCTTCATCAACATATAAATACATGAGACGTAGTGCTGGACTGGAAGTTAAAAAAAAAATCAATCTAGACACCCTGTAATATTTATGCTTTTACAGTTGTACTTTGTTCAAACTGAGGTGATAAAGGTACAGTCCATGTTTTGCAAGTGTTTAATAAAAAAAAATTGCATTTATTCAATTTTAGCATTTAGGCTCGCACAGCGATTAGCTGATTGCCACAGGCATGAGCCCATACAGAGGTAGAGACCTTCAGTCATAGGCTTGGAGGAAGTAATCCATGGACTAAAAGAGCGGTGACATCACCACAGTTGTGTTCCATGGAGATCTACCGGTCCCACTGCCATGGTGGAAGATTGACAGATCCCTGTGAATGATTGATACAGCTATAGAGAAGAACCCAGTGATACATGGGGTGCTGGGGAATGTGGCCATTTCATGGTCAGAAAGGCGGGGTATGCTTTTAAACTCGCTACAGTCTCAAACAATTTAACCTGGTGATGCCCAGGGCCAGCCTTAGGGGTGTGCGAGCTGTGTGGCCGCACAGGGCGCCGTGGCAACAAAGGCACCTGTGGGCCGACAGCTTGTCCTCGTGTCGGCTTCTCTCCTCCTTGACATGACAGCGCTCCCTGCTGTCAGGATGGCGGAGAGAAGCTGCGCTTGCAGCTGTCAGGATGGCCGAGCGGAGAGGAGATCGGAGCCGCTGTCATCTGTGCGTGGCAGAGCGGGGGATCGGTAAATATCATTGATATTTACCGATCCTCCGTGTGAGAAGGACAAACACTGGAGCGTGCATCTGGTCACTCCAGTGTTTGTAAATAACTGGGGACACATAGTACTATGTGTACCCAGTTATGAATGAACAGAATGTGTTTTACATCACAGCCTGTTCATTCAAGATTTCCTCAATGGGGAGAAGCACTCACTACAGAGGCTCCTCCCTATTCAGAAACAGCTGATAGTAAATATTTTACTATCGGCAGTTTCTGTGAAAAAAAAGTGAAAACTGTTCCTCCCCCTCGCGTCCCCACACACACGCGCATATTATTAGACATGTGCGAAGACTAAAAATTAATTTCAGATTAAATGAACGAAAACTAAAAACGTTGCATTCGTCTCATCAAACAAAACACATTTATATGCTATTTTGGATTCAGCCATTGGCGTGTTCTGGAGGCAGGGCGCATGATGTCATATAACAACGCACGTGCTGGGCGCCGCCATCCTGGTGTATATCTAGCTATAAACCAAGATGCTTGGTCCAATATCGGCGTGTGGCGTCACCTGACGCCACGCATTCATGGTGTCATGTAACGTCATGCTCCCCGCCTCCAAGATGGTGGCACGAATTCACAGAACACACCGGTAGCCAACATGGCCGCCGCACATTCTCAAACAAGTTATTATGTGCCTGAATACATATAGTAATTCATTAATTTGCACGTAGTCTAGGTTTTGTGTTCCGTTTTCAATTTTTACTTTTCTAGATTTAAGGACTCCTTAATGACTGGTAGGATCCCCGGTGATTGGCGGAGGGCTACGGTAGTCCCAATATTCAAAAAGGGGACACTTACTTGAAGAAAGGGTCGGCATGACCTCCTGACACTTTATTTTTATAGACTCTATTTTAGTTTGACATTTATTGTTTACCACTTGTTTGCCTTCTGTTGTTTTATTTAATAAGAATACTTATATTGTGCCGACAAGTTTAATACCTTTGAATAAAAGTTTTAGTTTTATCATACTTTTTGATATGTTTCTTTGCGGCTTAAAAAATTGGAGTCTTGAAATGGTGCGGATATTGGGAAAATGGGTGTGGCCACTGAGGGGTGTGGCCACTGAGGGGCGCTGTAAAGCTTTCTCGCACAGGCCGCCTAAAGGCCTAAGGCCGGCCCTGGTGATGCCATTATCTTCCCTTATAAATCTGCAGGTTGTGGTAAAATAGCAACAATCTGTGATTCTGCCTTGAAGGTCCTTGGTCAGTCACTTCCAGTTACGAGTTGACAACATACAGTTGTAATCAAATGTATTTAACCCCTCCATTGCAAATCAGGTCTGCAAAATGTACAGACTTTCAGCTGTTTGCAATGAACAAATTAAACAAAAGCAATTGAAATAGGCCAGCACAACAAATGTTTCAAGTGGTTTTCCCCAAATTCAACTGCAGATGCAACTTTTAATGACTTCTGCAGTCTCAAAATTATTCATAGAACCCTTCACAAGAGCACACATCTGCAAAATAGGTGTCTCAAGCATACCTGATGATGATGATACCTAATCAAGGGCTTCAATAGTTGCACAAAGTGTTCTTGAGCTAGAAGGCATGAAATACATGAACTGGCTAGGGGTTTGTTGAGTGTTAGGTTTGACTGCATGATAGAAATATGGCTAAGTGAAACGAATGGTCCAAAAAGTTAAGAGATCACCCCCCTTCAGGAACAAGATACAAAAAGATAGCAAAGGCACTGAATGTTCATACTTTAGTCCAGCCTTCTCAACCAGGGTGCCTTCCTGCATCCTCAGGTGCCTTGAAGTTTTCACACAGCATCATGCCTTTCCATGTTGCAGGCAGGATTGCCAGCAAAAAGGAAAATAATGATGCGTATCCAGGGAGGCTGTGAAGTTTACCTCCGTCCAGGCCTGCTCCGCCATTCCAGCCCTGTGCAGGTCTCCAATCTTGTCCCTAATGTCCTTTGACAGCTCTTTGGTCTTGCCCATGGTGCTGAGGTTTGAATGTAAGAGATTTTGTGGACAGGTGTCTTTTATATATACGAGTTGTCATTAGGAGCACCTTCTTAAAGTGGCAGGACTAATCTGAGTACCACATAGCCAGTTTGTGGGAGCCAGAATTATTGTTGGTTGGTAGGGGATCAAATACTTATTTTACTCGCTGAACTGCAACTTCATTTATAACATTTGTATCATGTGTGTTTTCTGGATTTTGGTTGATATTCTGTCTCTGTCATTTAAAATACACCTATGATAAAAATTATAGACCTTTAATTTCTTTGTAAGTGGACAGCTGTCTCTGCCCCCAACCCTGCCGCTCCCCTGATCTGTCACAGGAGGCTGAGCTCTCCTCCCGCACCGCCTGTCAGGAAACGGGTCTGAACCCAGATTCTCTGCTGTAGCTGGCGGTGGTTCTACCTGCTGAGCCACCTAAGAACCTTGGATGGCTCCTTGCCTAATCTCCTGTGTATCCTCAGTTATACCTAATCAGATGCTGAACTCTGAACTCCTTGCTCCTCCCTTGAATCTCCTATTTAAGCCATGCCCCTCCACTTCCTCTTTGCCAGATTACTATGCTCCTGCCTTGATCTTGCTTCCTGCTCCCTCTGTGCTACAATCTACTAATACTGCTTCCTGTGTACCGACCCTTGGCTGCTGATTCACCGACTACTCTCACCTTCTCCTACATTCCGGATACCTTTGGCTCCTGACCTCGGCTTGTTCGCTCACTATGCTTCTGCCTGCTCCTCCACCACTACCCGCTGCTTGTGTACCAAACCCGGCCTGTTATACTACGAATTGCCCGCTGCTTCAGCTGCTGGACTATGAGCCTGATCCCAGATCGTTAAAGCAAAACAAACGACAAACGCACTCAACAATTTGTTACCAGTTATACAGTAAGGTGCACACGAAATGGGCTTTGAACAGTAGAACAGTAGAAAGGCATCATGGCACACTCACAAACCA